ACATGCTATTGTTTACCTTGTCTAAATGTTGAAACTCTTGGGGATCTAGCCCTGATATCTGCATAATTCTGAGAGAAAACTTCAAATTCTTCATCATCAGAATCTAGCCCATTAAAAAATATGTTGGGCATAGATCCTACTATGCATGCTTTAACTTTAGCTTTATCTAATTTCAAAATTCTTTTCTTCCTCTATATTTGGAAGGCATGCACAAAAAAGCAAAGCAAGCATGAAAAGCAAAAGCATTGTTAATCATTTTTATTAAAAAAGCAAAAGAAAATTGGCTAACCTTGTCCCTGATGAACTTCACAAGCCAGACCAAAAAGACTGCCAAAGACGTAGCCCCAGCACCTCCAAGGCCCATGAAAACCAAGACCATAGCGGTCCACAAGTCCACATCCGCTTCAACGTGGGCAACACCATGTTTGATGTTCACAGTCACTTTGGGCGTGGACAACAGCGCCTTAATGACGTGTGGCACCTCATGGGCCACTCCGACGCTTTGCTGCCTCAAGGGCGGCGCCCGAACCACGAACGGCGTTTTGCTTGCCGGCACGTGTACGACCGCCAGGTTGGCCGTTGGCGCCACAGGGCAAGGCTCCTCTGTACATACAAAAAATATATCTTAATATCTGGTGAAGGAAAACTAGTTTTTGTATATATATAGTGTAAGGTGTTGGCTATGTGTTATGATGCTATATGGAATGAAATATGTGTTGTGAGTGGTGTTTTTTGCAATGTTTATACATGTATGGAAAAGCTGAAACAACTCACCAACCACCGGCGGAACTGCCGCCGTTGAGATCTCCGGTTTGGGGGGCACAACCTCCTTGCACCACCTCCACGGCATCACAACACGATCCATGTCGACACGACGCCTGACGCAGACCGTCGGCAACACCAGCTTCACCTCCTGCAGAAACAAGAAAGCTGTTATTCCCATCTTGGCAAACATTGTCAAAAAACTCCCCTTGAGATCCGCCTGACCAACGCAGTCCAAAAACAGTGTCAACCCGACAAATGTCACCAGACGTCTGTAACTGCTGGCGTCCCGCACCTCCTCTCCGCAAATGTCCCAACACTTGAAAACACAGTCGTCTAGACCGCAGTCCGCACCTGCACCGACCAGCAACCACAGCAACAACGTCACAATCCTCAGGAACGCCATCTGCGAAAATTTTGAAAAAATTGTTATTTCTGATTGTAAAATTTTTTTTGGGTTTACTCACTTTGTTGTAGTCTTCTCTTGAAGAAGTTGAAGATTCCTAGCAGCACAAAGTCACTCAGTAATCAAACGATTCGCAAAACAATGTTTGAGGCCACCAGCTCCAGGAGACCCATCAACTTTTGTTGACTTTTGGAGACAGGAAGTCATTAACGACGCATCCGCGTCCGTTACAAAGATTGTTAAATTACCGCCCGAAAAATTTGAAACAAATAGGCTAAGCTAACAATGCTCACCAAAGTCAACCGCCAAAATTTCAGGCCCAACAGATCATCCGTTAACGAATGGCACTCGATGCCAACTGAAGAAGATATTTTCATTCTTCTTGATCCGAACATCTGTCGGATCCATGCCTGATTCCTCCTGATGGTTGGCAATAACAATTGCCATTTCCA